CTTTTGGGAGGGAAAAAAAAAAAAAAAAAAAAAAAAAAAAAGTGATGCTTAAGGACAGAAGGTACATTAGCTATTTAATCTGGGGTTTCTTAAACCTTCTGGGTGCAAACCCTTTTGGCTCATCTCCTTTCCTGCAACCTCCTCAGAATGTGAGCAGCATAAAGAATTTAAAGAATGATTCCTATTTTAGCATCCTGATGTCATGAACACTAAGATTTTTTCCACTTCATAAATATTATACTTGTCTTTTCATTCAAATGTTCTGAAACAATTTAAAAATTTGTCTTCCAATGCTTCATGACTCCCTTTTGCAGCCTTTATTGTAAGGAAGGGTAGTCTGGTCTGACCTCCTTTACAAGGCATGCTGTTCAGTTTCACCTAGCAACTTGCACATTAATTCCAGTGTATAATTAAAACAGGAGACTAAATGTCATGCATCACAGGCAGAGAACACAAGGGGAAAAGATGCCGCCAGTGCCAGAGGCCCTGCAATGGAAAAGGCCCGTCAGACCAGATATGCCAGTAGGTAAGTCACGCCCCACTCAGCAGAAAAAAGCACCCCCTGCAAAATTCTGCAAATCCCTTTAATATGACGAGAGGGATTTCTTCTCCACCCTCTACTCTGGCAGTCAGCTTAACTCAGAGTGCAGGCAAGGCACAACCTCCCAGGCATCTGAGCCCGATTAACCCCCGGAGCACCTTAAAGTGCTGGTCCATCACCCATTTCCAACTGTGGCCAGATCCCGACACTGCACAGGCTGACCAGGATCCACACACGGCTCTGCATCAAGGTGGGGAAAAGTATTGCCGCTCCCGGTAATTACCTGAAACTTCAAGGAATGAGACTGGGCTCGCAAGCTGCCCTAATGCAGAACTGCAGGTGTCATGCAGCTGAGAGGACAACAAGGAGAAGCCCCTTATCTCCAGATAAGCTATTTACTTTTTCACAGCTGCCAACACACAAGATGGACCAGTCTGTCCCTAAGAAACATCCAGCTTCTATCGCAAAGCACACACAAACCAAACTCACTGTGTTGCCCAGCACCACCACAGATTCCTCAGTATCCATATACATGCATGGCCATTTTTGTGGTTTTAATCTTAAGTACCTATTTAATTGTGCTTGTCTGGGGATCAAAAGTATTTGAAGATAGGTACCTGCTCCAATTTTCTGTTCCTTAGGAAATACCCATCACATTCGGATACAACATGTACCCATTTATGCCTCAAGAGCCATTGAAATTTCTGGATAGTCAGAAGTATACATTGTTTCTCTGTAAGCCAAACATGTAAGCCAGAGAAAGCTAATTTCAAATATCCTGAGGAATACGCTCTTCCTGCAGGCTGTAAGGGTCATTATTTAAAGAAACACAGCCAAGAGGCATGCAGGGCGTGAATGTTGCAATATTGATTGAACTTAGATAAAACGTGTAATACAGGAAACTGTGCTGGGGTTTTATTCCTCAGTAACTTACTGATTTCTGGTCATTAGCTGAAAATTACTTTTTATATGGCCTTGTTTCCCATGGCTTTCAGAAGAAATGCACTTCACCACGGGCATTTTTATTATAGAGCACTGAATTGAAAAGGGCTAACTCAGAGACAGGCTGGCAAAACTGTGTCCTTTCTGTATGTTTTGTGTATGTGTGTGTCTTCATGTGCTCTTCCTGCAGGGTTGAAAAATGGAGCTTTTAGAGAGGTGATAAAAATTAATGGTAAGTCAGTAAGAGTGGCATGTGCGAGTCTGCTTCTTCCCCTAACCATTCGCTGCAAAGGGAATTTGTTTCAGCAGCCTGCAGAGTCATGGGCTCAGCACTCACCAGTTTGCTGGCTTTGGTGGCATCCAAGGAATCTGTAAAGAAAAACAGAAACAGAACCATGAGCTTTGGCCCAAAGGATGCCTCTGGCCTGACCCGCATACTAAGTGTCTCTGCAGTCCAGGAAGCGTCAAGGCATAGTGAAAGGACCGTTTACGCGTGTTCTTAGGGAAGTGGGCATGAAGGAGAGACCAGCATAAACCAGGAAACGGTGGTACAATGGGGTACGGGTTTGGAGGAACAGGGACTCCCTTATTAGATCCGCTGGCACAGTTTGAGAAAGCCAAACATTCAGACACATGTGTCAGAACTAGGTCAGGCTACACTGCTTTTCTTTAGTTAAATTACTGCAATTCAGAGAACCCCAAGCCATCTTCAGAGCACTCTCTCTGTTGGAAATGCACGGCAGTCTATCGGTCCATATGACCACATCGAATCAGCTGGATTCCAAATGAGAACCTAATGTGAGCATCAACAGAAATACAGGTCCAGAGACCATTTATTTCACACAGCAAAATAAAAGGTTTCCATCCCGGTCCGTATGCGGTCAGGAATCTGAACATGCACAAGGTCGATGTACAAGAGACCACTCGGAAAAAAACCCAAACTGACCAGCTGCAGCTCTGCTCCCTCTGCTCTCTACCTCAGCTCAGGGAACCTCCCCGAGCAGGGCACCCACAGCCCCAAGCCCACAGCCCTGACAGGGCTCGAGCTCAGCAGACTGGTCCTTCCCATTTCTCAGAGCGCAAACCTCCTGCGGCACAGGCGGCCGCCAGGAACATCTACCGACAATTCGGCCGCTGGCCTTCTCCAGGTCGCTGAACTCGTGGGGTGCCGGCTGTTACGAGGTGCTCCCATTTTATCACCCTGACAGAGGGCTGATGGAGCACCCCATTACAGAGCCTGGCTGTTATGGCAGGATGGCAGGTGTCAGCAGCGGGCTAAACCCCAGTGCTCAAACAACTCCCCCCCCCCAAATTCAGGATCTCTCCCTCGTTCTCTGGATTATTGGTGTGCACAGTTGGACAGCACAGTAAGTGCCACGGACATGACTGTGGAGGAACCAGATTGCACAATCTTGGCTTGTGTGCATCAGAGACACAGGTAACCACTGCAGGTTTGGCTAAATTACATCCTTTGCTCCATTTCTGGATGTGCGGGGGGTCCACGAGCAGCTCACAGCCATGGGGGCTGCTTGCCTCCCTCCTCTCCCAGCTGCAATTCCACCAGGGTTTAATATTTCCAACGGTGACACTGATCACCCCAACAGCAAACGCTGCAGAAGCACCTCATAAAAAAACATAGGAGCTGCCTCCACCGGGTACCTCACACCTCTGCTAGCCTGGGAGAGGAAGGTGCTGGATCTATGGGAAGAGCAATCTCTGCATCACCCACCGCAGTCAGACTGCAGCAGCCGGCGCTGCCGTTTCCATGGAAACTCCTGGCAAGCAGCCGCATCCCAACGCCCGCATCCCTACCAACGAGCATCGCGGCCAACACCGAGCCTGCGTGTCTGGGCTCCCTTCTCTTCCTGCCACGGGACCCCGAGGGGGCTCGCCCCCCAAGACCTGGCCAGTGTTCACCCACCATGCCCCTGCTGCCTGGCCCAACCCAGTGCTGCTCTGGCACAGCCCCTACGCTCACCAGTTCAACCATCAACCACTAACTGGAGCTCGTGTGTGCGTCCCACCCTCACAAGCAATGCCCCCTCCCACAGTACGAGTGTCACTTGGTGGTACTCAAGGCCAGCTGCACTGCTGCCTGCAGACAGCAGTGGAAAATGCTGGTGACACCCATCTTGCAACCCTCAAACCTGAGCTAAACGCACCCATTTCTCCTCCTGCACGGCGTTCATGGGCTCCTGCCCTGAAACAGGCTCTGAGCAGCAAGAGGCAGAGGAAGCAATACTGATCTGCACACCAGGAGGGGTAACCTGAACTGCTTGTGCTTTACTCATTTCTCTATTTGAGTGGAAGAACCAGCAGCTGGCGAAAAGGGGCCAGAGCATCACTGTAGAAGTTCAGTGAATGCTGCTGGGCAGCAACAACAAACCTCAGCATGTACTGAGAAAGGAGAGACAGTACTGAAAATTCTACAGCGGTGTGCTGTGAGAAAGCAGCCGTACACCTCTGGATGCTGCAGTCACTGCTGGTTGCCCCAGACAAAGGTTTTAGAAGAACCAGAGACAACTCTGCAGTAGACAGTGTAGATTAGAGCTTTGGAAAGACTTCCAGATAATGAGGGGGTAGATGGCACAGGATTTAGAGATTCATTGTACAGACACACACAGAGGTAGTGAAATTAAACGGCAGCAACATTTGCTGAAGAGCCACACTAAACCCAGAGGTTTGGTTTGTTGCTTTTTCCAAGGCTACCCTGTCTCTATGTAGTTAACATATTTCTGGTCTCTACGTTCCCGTCCGCCGGCTCAAGGAAGCATCAGCTGCTACTGAATTCTCAGGATGTTAAGTGAGGGTCTAAAGAGCCCTTGCCTTTTCTCCCTAGCTCCTAATAACTGCAGGATGAGAAAAACGACAGCAGACTCCCAGCGCTGGAAGGCTTGTGGCTTTTGCACAGGTTCAGCACTCAAAGGGGCGATGTCCACCAACACACATCCAGAAAACTCAGACCTACAGGAGCATCAGGGAAAAAAAACGCTTGCATGGCTCCACACAAGCTTCTTATCCTAAATGAGTACAGAATTCGAACAAGGAAAACTGAATTTTCAGCTGGAAAGTCTGAATTGAGAAAGAGTGAAAAGACCATAAAAACATTAAGGAATATTTTCATTGACTATTAATATCAAGTACATCCAAAGAACAGGCTGAAGCTGCACATGAAAGGTTGGGCTTTCTTGCACTCTGGAAAAAAAACCCCAAACACTCAGACTAATATACTAAGTAGAAAAGTTTCCTTTTTTTTTTGCACTTAATTCAGGGGTAGGGGTTTAAACTGGCTTCCTTTAAATGTTTCTCTGTTCAGCTGCACATGCTAATTGCAGGATCCAAAGCAGAGATGAATTAAAGTAGCTGGGCTGTACCAAACCCAAGCTCTCCACAGTGGCAGTGAGCTGTTGGAGCCTGGAGCTCCCTGCAGGAGAAGGTGAAGGCAGAATGCCAAAGGACATGAATGCCAATTCAAATTTCCCTTCCACTCATGGGACGGACAAAAATTAATGTCTTATGGGAACGCCCCACTTCTCGGGCTAATCATCACCCCCTTCTGATGCCTTTGGACATATTTTATACAGCCGAAGAGTAGATTTTGTTTTGCCAAGCAAAGGGGAATTTTAGTTTCTACTGGCCAGGAGAGGGGAAAAAACAACAAAAAATCAAGCCCTATTCTGAACTGTTAAGCATGTGTTCAACAAACGCTTCACACACCAGAAATCCCCAGCTTGGCACGCATTGCCGACAGGGCGTCCAGGACAGGAAACCATCAGAGCTTTTTCCGCAAGCTGCTAGGATCCCTAAGTGTACCACTAAATAATTACTCAACAAAAACAGACCTCAAAGGGAGGCAAGCCTGTCAAAGTACCAGACAAAGCGAGCTATTACAGAGCCACCTGACAATGGAAAAAGTGGAAGGAACGCTGAACACAGAGCGGAAAGCATTCACTGCCAAAGAGGTGGGAATAAGGCACAGCCTGGAGGGACTAGTGACCTGTAAGCTGCAATTTCACAGCACCAGAGCAGTTCAAGTCTTCCTTCCATGTGCCTACCCCCCCCAGGAAGGATTTCCCACTTGCTTCCCACCAGACAGACTTTCATGGTAAGGACAGAACTTTTGCATGCAGTGCTTCCTTCTGTGGACCCCAAAGACTACGTAGGACCATGCAGAGAGGACAATGGGAGAGGTGGATGAGCCGGGGGGAGGTGAGTGCATACCCAAACCAAGGACAGAGCCCTGGAATACACGCTATCGCCCCTCGGCAGCTGGCGCCCACCTCCCCAGCGTGTGGACCCCCTACGCCTGTTCGGGAGTGGAACCTTGTCTGGTCCAGACCAAGGGAGAGACGAGGTTTCAGGGCAAAATGGACCAGCCGTACCTCTTTTGGGGACTTTCAAGGCAGCAGATTCTGGCGTTTCTGGGGATGTTGTATCAGCTCCATCTTCAAAGACCTGGATCTGGAAAAAGTATAACGACTATTATTACAAACAAACAAACAAAAATCCAGAATGTGGTCATTCACCTAGGCCATAAAAAAAGTCAAAACTCAGGATTCGACAGCCCAGAACATCTTTAACAGTTCCATGATCACTTTACACAGAAATCAGTTTATGAACCTTGGTCTGACAGTTATTCCAAGTTACTGACACTTGACAGAAAGCTCTTTTTTTGTCTTTTTGTGTTGTCTTAGCAAAAGTTGATTTAAAACTCTTCTTTCTCTTCATAAGGAAAACTGCTTTTCTCTGACACTGAGCAACTTCAGTGATTCAGAATGCAACACTGCCAACAGAGGGTGTTTGGTTTGGGTTTTTTTTAATCTGAAAGCTGCCCAGCTCTCTAGGGAACCCTAGGAGGCACAGACAGGAATACTTTCAGGTTTGAGCCCTGTTAAGCTATCTAAGGGTTGAAGGTTTAGGGTTTTCTCTTTGTTAACTATTTTTGGACACATTTTTGCTTGATAAATATAGAAAACAAGGCTGGAAAGGATTAGATCACTTCTTGAGAACCATCCCTTCATCTTAGAAGATCAACACTACCCAAGTTGTTCCTGACAGGTATTTGCCCTATCCATTCCGTGACAACCTTAAGCCTGGGAGTTCAGTTTAAAAATAAAAATAATCTGTAAACCTGTCAGTCACAGTTTCTATTTTGGGAAGATGCCCAAGTACCAGGAATGTATTCTTAAATTAAAAGAAGCAAGGAGACTGAGCAAAATTATGCCACAGAAATCATGACAACTGCACCAAGGCTGAGAATACTCAAACCACAGTTTTAAAAGCGAGGACAAGGCAAGTGCCCCTTGGATCCTGCTGAAAGTGGGTATCTGACACAGCCAGGCACACCCGATCTTCGGAGTGACTTGGCAATGCACAGATTTTCATGTTTCACTAAACACAGCAGCATGACAAAACCAGACCCAAGGACTATGGAAATGGCATCCCAGGGGATCTGCTGCACCAGGTCATGCACAGGAGTTTATCCAAAGCGAGGGTGGGATTTTGAGTGGTCTTAGGGTTCCCCACCAGGTACAACTCAGCTGGCCACACCAGACTTGCTGGGAGATGGGTAATGACAAGAAGGTGGTAGGAAGCAGAACAGGGCTTGCTTTTGCGTTAGACTGGAGAAGTGCAACAACATACCAGATGCGCTGCTGCAGCAGATTTAAGCTGATGAGCTCCTATGCCAAGCAGGAGCAGAAAAGGAGCTCCACTTGAGGTCAAAATCAAGGATAATGTTTCCACACACCATAAAAGAATACTCATGTTCAAAATTAGGAGCCCAAATACAAGTCCCAGGCAGGCAAAATGTTAAGGTTGCCAAAAGATAATGAGCAAACACTTCGTTGGAAACGCCTGTCCATGTTGACACAGCTGCTCGAAAGAGTGCTCCAGCCCCCTGCTAACTGGAAAACAAGCAGGGAGGGGATGGTCAGAAGCAGAGAGACAACAGCCCCTCCGCGGCACCCACCCTCCGCACAGCAAGCCAAAACACCCCCGGCTCGGTCCCGCAGCCTGAGGCGGCAAGTGCCTCCATCACAGCTCCACCGAGCTCCAACCCCCCCGCAGCCAGCTTCCCTCCCCTCCAGCTGGCCGGGACACCGAGTAGGCTGCTCTCAGGGGGACGGTGTGACATGGCTATGGGACGGCCACTCTGCCAGGAAACATTAACATCCCCAGAGCTACCACACTTAAGAGTCTCCACCATGAAACTCCCTACCACCTCTCAGCTAGAGATACCCACGCCTGCTTCCCTGTAGGATGCTGCTTCAAGCACAGGCGCAACAGTGAGAAATGGTTTAGTGATTATTTCAGTTCTTTTGGCTCTCTACTTCCCTTAGAGCACGGCGAGGCGTTGCTGGGACGCACACCTCCCCTGCAGTGGGCAGTAACTCCAGCGGTCTGGAGCGGATGTATTGCATAGGTTCGATCCATACGCTTGTTATATAGATAAAGCACAACATCAAATCCCTGTGTGGGATCTACTTTGATGATTGCATGAAATAGAGAAAAAAAATTACCTAAAATCTTTGAAATTTCCCCACCAGTACATTTTTAAAGCTGAAACTCCACAATAAATTAAAAGGCTAAGAATACTGCTAGGCTTTATTGATGCTGGTATTACTGGTGCTCATTTCTTGAAATATGTTTTTAAGTGGAGGGGAGAACAGAAAGTTACTTAATCTTGGAAATTCTTAAAAACACTTTACAAGTGTTTAACAAAATGTGCTTCCATTGATGCAGGTGATCTGCTTCATAAGCAACGAGAAAAACATTTCTCATTTATAAATTTTTTTCCCCTGAGAAAGATTAGTTGACATTCAGTGTCTCACACCATGTGTAACCACAGGAAAGCCACCCACTATGCTGGGGAGACCTAGAAATGAAATATGGGAGGACGCAGCAGACAGATTTAGAGCAGAGAGCACAAGCAGATCATTAACTGCGCTGAAAGGGAATCCTGCCATTTTCCATTTATATCTTAAACCCGGTTCTTGAAAAATTAATGCCCAAATCGTAATGGTCACTTAGGTGACTGGCCGCCCACACCCTGGGCAGCTTCCTCCACCGCCTCTGCTGGGCTTCTCTTTTGGTGCAGGCTGACTCACCAGCTCACTAAGCCCCAGTGCTGGAAGCCCTCTGGGAAGCTGCGCTCTGCAATAAGAGCTTGAGAAAAAGGCTGGAGAGCACAGAGCCATGGCCCTGCGCCGATTCGGCAGCTGCTGCATGAGGCAGGTGTAGGAATTGCTGCGATTTGCAATCCATGCTGGATAAGCTCCGCAAAGACTGTGCTCCCCTGTGCTCATCAAGTTCACCTTTCCACACACATCATGGTTTCAGAGGGACGGTCAGTGCTACTGGCACTGGCGCTTCTTCTCCACACACACACACACCCCAGGGATTTGCTCTTTTGCAGGGGAGAGTGGGCAGAGACAAACTACTCACCATCACCATGGAAAAGCAGCTTATTTTTAAGCAAACTGTGCGCTGCTCAGGAGGGGACACGTGAGACAAAGACCCCAACCGTTCCAAGACCAGAGCAAGAAAGGGGAAGCACAGCGAGGGGTGGCTGTCGGACCCTGGAACAAGCCTCAGCCCTCCTATACAGCTCCCTCGGGCCAGCTCCTGCAACCCAGCAGTTTCCGAGTCCCAGGAGAAGACACTACAGAGCACCCTTCAGTTTGACCCCCAAACACCCCAGTGCAAATCCACACACAGGAACCTTTGCACCACCACCCTGCTGTCACCAGGAGATGAGATGGAAACTCCTCTGAAGGTCCCGGGCAAGCACAGCAACACTGACCTGCCCACGCCAGCACCACAGGACATACGTGTACCACTGCACATCACCAGATGTCCGATGGGTGCAGAGGGCCACACTACGCCTGGAGCACAGTAACTGCCCACGTATTTCCCCCTGGTCTGCCAGCACTGGGATTTCGTAAGTGCTTGATGGGTAGAGACCTGCCAACAGGCTGCCCTGTGTGATGAGCTCCTCTCCAGCCACCCGGTCTGAGTGCCATGCGTCCTGGTCCTGCAGACAAAACTTTTAATTGTAAACTACTTATTTACTTTTCCAGCTGGCAGGCCAGGCTGAGCGACGGAGCAAGGAAGCCAGGTCCACAAGTCTCAGCAAAACAGCCACCAGAGAACATTCACTTCTCATCAGTGAACCGTTACTGCACCCTCTGACCACACGTGACCTGAAGGCCCTTCTGATGGCCAGGACAGAGGATGCTGGGATCCACCCCAGGACTTCTGCTCCTAAAATCCCTTATTTCGTGTTCAGCTTCCTCAGTTGCCCACTGCCAATGTCCTGGAAGCAAGTCACCAGGTCTGGTGGGGTAGAAGGAAGGTCTGCGGAAGCGGGAAGGAGCTCTCTCAGCACTCTGCTGCCGAGATGCTACAGGGTGGAACTTAAACCAGTCATTTTGTGCCAGGGAAGGAGAAAAGGAGCTGAACGTCTCTCACTGTGACACCTGGCTTGGAGCACACAAACCTGTGGGACTCAACAGCAGTGTCACTGTGCTGTGCTTGTGATGTTTCAAGATTACACAGAGGAAATTAAAATGGAAGAGACTTGTTTGTACATAAACAAGCTCCTAGTTCCTACCTATGGTACATAAATAGCAAAAGCTCAACAACTAAACCCAAGTCACGGATTCTATATACCTTAAGGTACACATTATTTAATTAAAATTCTGACTTTACTTCCAGGTAAATACCCAGATACCGGTCCCAAACTTCATCTGCTACAGATGATGCAGCCGGTAACTCTCTGAGGCAGCAGACAGTGGGCAGACTTTACTCTTCATTTTGGAGGCAAAATAAAACCATTCCATGCTCTCTGGAATTCACCAAACTTTTTTCACCCAATTCACCTGAAAATATTCCACGATAACCCCATAAACCGGGCTAATTGAGACACACAATGAAATGTGCAGAGAAGCTGCGTGTCAGACTGGAACAAACCACAGCTCTGGCAGGAGCACAACCTCCAGGAAAGGCTTCTGTCTGCGTTTGGAGCTGTTTTGTTCCCTCGCACGATGGAAGATGGAGAGTCCCAGAAACATCGTGCTCTCTGGAAGCAAAGGAAAGTTATTTTATCTCTCCCCACGTGGGCGCAAAGGGCTATCTTCCTCTATTTAAGCAAGCAACCGACAAGCCACGTATACCTGAGACAAGCCCAGCAAGCAGAGGGAAGCATACCTGTGACTGCCGCACAAAGATGCCATGGTTTTCTTCACAGGTGAAGTATCTCCTGCCCTGCACAGTCCCATCGTTCTTGCCCTTTGCTTCATCCAGGATGACACCGACCCACTTTCCCGTGGCAAACAGAGTGGCACCGACATAAGCCACGGTACCGCGGTGCCCTTTCCCAATGACTTCGACTCTGGAGCCCACCTTCAGGGGCTTGCTGCTCGCTTCCACGCTCATCCTGGTGCCGGTGCTGGATGCCTGAGGACAGAGAGGAGATGCACAGCAAGTTAAACACAGCTAGTGCAGAGAGATGGACCCACGGTTCAGACGTCAGTGTCTCATTCCTCTCCAGCACCCTTCACCCTGGGCTCTGCAGGGTCCCACACAGCCCGAGGGGTTGGTCCCCGTTCACCTCCACCACCCTTTCTTTTCGGGAGCCAGCAAAAGGTAACTCTTTCCATTACGGCTGCCAAACGGGAATCACAAACAATGGCAAAACCACCATTAACTACTGTTCTTCTTTTAATAGACATGCCAGGCTCACGAACCCAATTTATAAGGTTTTTTTATAAGCTTTAGGGGGGAAAAAAAAAAAACCAACCGTGAAGTAGCAGATGTTAGTGCAGTCACATTTGCCTTAACCTACACTTGCTCCATCCTTTTTTCATTATACCAGAAACTGCCAACAGCTTTCCAGCCTCTTGCATTACATGCTCAGTAACAGACAACCCATCTCTGATATAGTTTACTTTCCTACCCCTTCTTATTGTCGGGATTTAAGAGGACCTGGTGGCCCACCACCAGTCCCAGAGTTAGACCACCCGCCCACACCAGTTTCCCACTGTATTCCTGACACCCACTCTGCGCCAGGACTCTGGGGTGCCCATTGGTAACGGCACTTCCTATCAGGATGCTGATAAGCAGAAAATACTGGTGGTAAATTCATTAGGCTTTCAAGGCATTATCATTATAAATATTAATCCACACTTAAATTTCAGTGTGCATCATTAGATTTCAAGCTTGCCATCCCTGATACGTACCCCTCTGTTTAGAGAAAGTTAACTACACTGATCAATTCTTTTAGAGCATCGATAAGGTGATGGGTGTGAGGAACATGATTAAGGCACTTGAGACCCTCAGTCTTACTTAAATGGTAATGAAGGGGGGGGGGGGGGCGACAAAGAAGGGATTGGGGTCCCCCCCCCCCCCCCAAAGCCTCCTCCTCTAAAATAAGCCCAAAATAGATGATGTTTATACTGTACTGCCATAGAGCTAAATTAACTATATGTTTTTAGTTGTTTAAAAGTCCCTCCCCAAATGCTGATGCCTTTAAAAGGCTACTGCTTTTAAATACAGTTAAGAAGGGAGAGGGATATTTGACTGCCTTGCTCAGCTCAAGTTCCATAGTTCAGTCCGACAGGACAGCATTGTCCCTACAGCGGTCTCTAAAATGAAACATGTTTGGCATTTGCATCATCCCATTTGTCAGTAGTTCTGTTTATTGTGTAGAAAATATTTTGTTTTGATTGCTGCTGAGCTTGGCTTCAGTGAAAGAATATACTTTTTATTCAGATGAGAACAGAAGGCTGCTTTCACTCCCCCAAACCACGACACAGAAAACAGTTGAGGAAGGGCACTCTCAAGCTGATGGATGTGAAGACAGAGCAGCAAGCCAGACACCAAGTGGGGTTTTCAGCAGTTGCAGTGGCAGGGAGGCTTCAGCCTGTACAAAGATCCAAGGGTATTTTGAAAGCTTCTGGCTGGCACATGCAGAAACCTCAATCACCACTGCTAACAGACAAACCAACAAATTATTGCCTTCCTTTGCATACTGATGCATTGGGTTTGAATACAGAATATACCCATCATGCTCAGGAGGTTTTGTGACTAAGAACTGTGACGCCAGTTTTCCACACAAAACTGAATTCCACTTTTCATCCAAATACAATTGGCAGAAATCAAAAACACAAAATAATCTTTTAATAAAAACCAAAATCAATCACCATTTTGTAGCAAACAAACAAAAACAAGACCTCAAATCTAAAACTTATGCCACATACTTAAATAAATGTCTACCAAAATATTGGATCATTTCAGTTGTCAGAAGGACTAGCAACAATATTCTGCAAAATACTTGCAGCTGTAAAATCAACATGTCCCACTTGCTATAAAAAATGAGAGCAAAACTCTAAGAAAACAAGAAGCCAGGAAAAGTAAGATTCACCATTTGAATAGAAAGGTTCCTGCTCGGCGATTTTAAAACCAATCGCTATCCTTTTTATCCATCCTGGTTTATGTTTGCCAGTTTCCTGGCCAGTCTGGTGGCCATGGGCAGCTGCAGCCCAGGTAAGATCTGTAGGTGTGTTGAACACCATGAGCTGGAAATTGAAGCTGCACTGCTGCAGGTAACACCTGCCCAGAGTAGGGCACGGCTCCCTGGGCACACATGCTGCCCCCCAGGGATAAGGGACCTTACACTTGTACTAACAGTTAAATGATGGTGGAAAATCCATACCGTGAGTGTCCACACACAACTTCAACATGTGTTGGCTAAGGTTAAAACACAGAATGTGCTTACAGAGGAAATAAGGAAGCAAGATTATAAACTGAAGGTATCGGACTTGTACCAGCACAGTGTTGTCTCTGGCCGATTTGATAAATAATGTACCTAGTTAACAGAAAGCAGGCAGGTTTACTGCCAATTCATGAGGTAAGTGTCACGCTGTCTTCCTGTGGCTAAGTTCAGCTCCAGTCTTGCAAACTCTTTTTCAAATCGTGGTATTTTGATTTTTGTTATTTTAAGGATGACACATCCCATCTTAGGTTCAGCTTGCACTGGTGACTTCCCAAATCACAAAATTGGGATGTGTCTCAGATAAACTTCTGGAGATGCTCCCGGCCACCCTCTCGCAGCTGCACTGCCAGGAGAGGAGCGCGGACGGTGAAGCAGGACAAAACCACCTGTGCCAGCAGCAGCACGCAGAGCAGACGCTCACGACCAAGGAGGCAGCCGGCAGCAGAACCGGCAGACAAAAGCCCAGGGACACGTTTCAGGAGGAGCAGAGCACGACTTGCAGGAACCAGCCTCTCAGCTGCACTGAGTGGGACAAGAGGCTCAGAGCACAGAGATAACCCAGCCAGGCTTTCACCTTACAAGCAATATCGTTTTTATTTTTCTATAGCATCAGTCTGTAGAGCGGTAGCAGATAAACTGGCCTCAAAAATCAACTACTTCACCATTTCTGCTGCAGCAACATCATGTTTGGTGTTGTGGGCTGCACGTGGGCGTCTGGGGAATGCTTTCTGCAGAGCACTCGCGTGGGAGCTGAGGGAGAGCTTGTCTTCCTCGCTTCCTTTCCAAAGAGTAATCCGAGTAAAAGCACATACTAACAGGAACCAAAACACCTAGATTTTTAAGCAATCAGATACAGGATACAGCATGGCTCCACAGTACAGCTTTTCTGACAGCAAAGCCAATTTACAAGGCTCCTAACCTTCTCCACAGCTTCTCACCCATTCTCCATCATGGATAACCAGCCTCCCCAGTGTGCTGCCCCAACCGATTTTAAAAACACCATCTCACGAGCAGGTTTTGATGTGGCTGCAGTCAGACACCTGCAGACAGATGCCCACCACAAGGAAGGGACAGCCAGCAGAGCTGGAGGTGAGGAGCCTTGTAAGCCAGATTTGCCAGTTTGGGGCTATTACCAGTGGAGCCACAGCAGAAAAGCCCACCACCGGCCTCTCAGTGCCACTTTCCTCCTCATCGGCAGTCGCATAAATTCTCCAGGGAAGAAAAACTGGGACTTTCACATGGAAAAAGAATTTCCTGATTTTTTTTAAACCACAAAAGCTCTTCGGGGCCTGTTCTACAAATTATGAAGCAGAGATGCATAATAAAGCAAGCAGCACATCTTTGTTCCTTGCAAAACCATCTCCAGAGACCATCTCCTAAGAATTAGCAGCAGAGTCAAACGAATGAATCACCCCATCAGCCTGTTTGGAAGTTCCACCACATTTCACTTGCAATATGCTCCAGCACCGATTTTCTGCCACAGTGACTCCTTTCCATGCAGTTGTTTAAAAGAAAAGACCTTTTCCCCACATCAAACCGCCACGAGATTGCAGCAAACTACCCAATTAGTGCAGCAGAAAGAAACTAACACCAGACTTTACTGAAAAGGAGAGTAAAACCATCATGCAGCTCAGCGCCTGGCAAGCCCTTCACACCCTAGCCGTCCTGGCACCAGAAAGCCTCTGCTCTGCAGTAAAGCAACTGGAAAAAATCAAAATGCAGGTAAAAGCCTCTAGGATGTGCAATTTTCCCAACTATAAATAGATACCCAGTGCAGGATTCTTCTCTGTAGTGGTATGAAAGGGTAGACCAAAATAATTTACATTACCACAGCAAAACAGAAAATTATGCAAATTACTGTAAATCTGTTGAGTAGTCTGAAAAAATTGCCAACTCAGGTAGCGTCCCCTTTTAAAGATTCATTTAAATGAGTTCTAGCATTTTCATTAGCAAATAAGACAGAGGGCTTCGTATTTCTTCTCTACGTACTCAGTCACACAGGCAAAGCATTTGAAGGTTACTTTTTACATGGTAAAACAACTGAAAATCCCCTAGAAGCCACAAAACCCCAATTTTCTCTCTGGAGGTGCCCACGGACAGCCAGGAGAAGGGGCTGCAGGTATTTTCTATATTTTATTTTGGGCACCTGTCCATCCCTCCTAGGCAATCCAGCCTCTGCTCATCCTGCGGTGGTAGCGCCATACCCCGGTGAGCGTGGCCACCCCGGTGCCCGCAGGTGAGCTCAGCCCTCCAGGTCATCTCCGCTGGCAGAGACCCAAGCTGGGTAAATAAATGGCTTTTGGTACACACTGGCAGGTAATTTATGGCTGCAGCATTAGGTTCAGACTAAGCCTCCAAGTCATAAACATAAAATTTCTGGGGGTGTTGACCTAAAAAAATAAAACCACACACATATAGATAGCGGTCCCAGCTGCTGTGTTCCAGTAAATCCCAAAAGGCACTTAGCTGCAATGAGCACGATGCGTCCAGTCCCGGACGAAGGACACTTTTTCCATTGTACTGCCTACTCCTGCAGTGTGTCCGCTGGCTTTGGCACATTGCTGTGTTTGTCCCAGGAACAACAGAACTTCACCCAAAGCTGCTGGTCAATAAAACCATGGAAATTCAGTCTTTGGCATCTGTTCCCATCTCTAATATTTGCACACTTCAGAAAGAGATAACT